AATTTTTCTCTTGTCCCATCACTCTGCTAGATTGTTTATGCCAGTAGCAAAGGATTCTTTATCTTGTTGTTTGAGCCAATTTTGCACGTTGATTTTCACTTTTTCGTTGTTAAACTTGATTGCAAAAAGGGTTAGTTAACCAAAGTTAACTAAAAGTTAAACTAGTTAGGTAACCTAAAGTTAGGTTAAAGTTTAACCTAAAAGTTAAACAAAGAGAAATCTGATAGAGCAAGATCTGGACTATAAGGCAAATGTGGTAGAACCATTCAACCTAATTTTTCCTAATTTTCTAATTTTCCGCTTTCTTATTTGGATATTTTTTGTACCAGAGCTCTTTGTCGCTTTACTTATTGAACGACCCTCGTGTATTAAAATGACCTTCAGACGACTTTTGAATTATCATATTAATGATAGGGTAACGTAATACACCTACGGTCGATTAAATTGAATAAAAGCGTATCTACTCGTGTCAATTCTCGCGAACAAGATAGCGTTTTATTTTCAGGAATTGGCTCTTGAACAACTTGACAAAGAGAATAGGCAAAACGAGAGTAAGCGAGATAGACGTAGCGCGTCACAGAGACATTCCCTGCGTTGCAATGAATCATTCAATATCAAAAATTTCAATTTCTCTGATCTTCATCCTGTCTGGATGAAAATGGTACCAATGAATTGGTGAGATTCTTACGATGAAAATGAGTCCAAACACGACATAAATCAGAGTAGTTTTACCACACGTCAATTTAAATATCACAGATTTTTTTTAAGGTGCTTTTAACACGTTCGCTGCCACCAGAAAATCGATAGCACGGTGGGCAATGCGTTTTGGACCGATATATTTTATGTTTGGTCTCATTTTCATCGGAAGAACCTCACCAATTCATCGGTACTATTTTCAAAATGATGGAATGAAAATGATAGAAATTGAAATTTTTCGATATTAACTGATTCGTTGCAACGCAGTCGGTGTCCCTTTAAGTGTTTCGTTTCGCTTATTCTCACAATGACTGTTCAAATTCCTTGTCGATCGGTTTGCTGAGTTCGAAGCACTGAATGGTGGGAGAAAAGTGAGAATGATTCGTTTCAATTTAACCAAGTAGATTTCACTTAAAGCTCCATACATATATATATAAGGTAATATGTATAATATGCATTACATATACGTGTATAAGGTAATGCATTCACTGATAAACGAATGTGTTAAAACAAAGTTAAAACGAAGGTCATGTTATTATACAGGATGGACAACGTAACTTGATCACCTTGATTATTTCCATTACTACTGGACGAATACAAATTCTTTTTTTTTTTAATATCTTGGTTTAGAGGGGCCTACAGGCCTACCTACTGCTGATTGCAGTACATGTTTTGTAGGTTAGTTTAGGATTTTTTTTCAAAGCTACCAAGATCATCTTTAGTTTTTTAACTGCAATCTCATAATTTTTTTTCACCTATCTTTTGACGGACAAAAAGACAAATATGCCAAGTACCGCAACATACTTTTTTTGTCATTAGAGTAAGACAAATGGCGGAAAAATGAATTTTAGAAAAATCCTGCATTGTCGTACACAAACACGGTGTTGTTATGCGATCAAATTGGTCTGACATTTCGCATAACATTTATAAATATTGAAATGTTTTATATTCCACTACTAATAGCTCTCGTAGACCTAAGTCACTACATTTGCGATCTTTCGAAAAGATAGCTATAATCATGGATCATTATAGTAATGAGGAAAAAATTGAAATGCTCTTAATTTACGAGGAGAGCAAACGTAATGATGTGATGACACAGCAGTTATACGCTGAATGATTTCCGAATAAAAACCGTCCATCATGTCACATGCTTCAACGTGTACTCAAAACGCTTCCGGAAACGGGGACGTTTAAATCGACAGAAACGAAATCGTTCAAAAGTCAAAACTGCTGGTTCAACTGAATGTGCTGTTCTGGCTACAGTGATCAATGATCCTCACATTAGTTCCTGAGAAATTGCAAAGGATATATCGAAATCTAGTGTTTCGATCATTTTACATCCACCATTCTTCCTGTTCTAATGTTAGATTCCGATGTTCAGTATTCTTACTGTATTCTACTAAACTGTTGTACACGAAAGTCTTACAAGTTTTAAGGCACTTAGGCTCTAGTTTCTAGAACTGTTGGGGTTGTAGCGATTCTTCTGTGTCTGGCTCAGGATCTTAGACGTCAATCATTTCTAAGTCTTAGCGTATGCTTAAAGAAAATTCGGTGGCCTAATTTTAAAGGCGGTAAGAGTAAGAAAAGGTCCAATAGACTTTCTTAGATACTATCAAGAGTTTATGAGTAACAAATTCGAGTGTGGAAGATAGAGATAAATTTTGGGGTTACTGATCTTAAACTGAGCGATAAGTATAAACATATTATCTATCTTATTCTTAGAGCGGCATCCAACACTAATTACAATAAAAGTATGTTGCGGTCCTTGCCGTATTTACATCTTTGACCGCTAAAAGACAGGCGAAAAAAAATTATAGAGTTCCATTTAAAAAGAACTAAAGGTAACCCTGATAACTTTAAAAACAAAGTAACCTACAAAACATGTAGGCCCCTCTAAACCAAAGTATTTAAGAAAAAGGAATATGTATTGATTCAGTAGTAACGAAATGATTAAAATGATCAGATTATGTTCTCCATTCAGTAGATGGTTGAATTCGTGTCCGGAATCTGACTGTAACAAGGTGTCATGGAAAATATATGGTTCCACTTCAAAAATCCAACAATGACCTTGATATCTCTGAAAATACGATTTTGATCTAATTATTTTGTCAATCATAGGAGAGGCTCTCTCAATCCTTTGAGTGCCAAGCAAATTTCAAGAGTGATCCTTACGGGACTCAAAAATTGATAAGCACGCGAATGTTATAAAAATAAGCTCTTATCTAATATAAACACTCTTGAAATCAAAGCAATCATTTCGTTCATGTTTTGAACAAACGACGATATTGTTGTATACTTGGCGGAAGAACGTGAAATCCAATTGCCAAAATATCTGTTGGGTGAGATAAGGAGCGCGAACTTCGTTCAGGGCCGTACGAAGTCAACTCGGCACCGATTCTTCCGTTAGAGTCAATCTAAAAAAGTGATAAAAACAGAAAAAAAGAAAGATAAAATCTGTGGAACAAATATAGTGCTCTCGTAAATTAAAACATCAAGTGGCGGTATAGTCCGTGCAATGAAAGAATGACAAATGATGACTAATGGTATTTCATGTACTATCTGTTAGATACTCCAAAACATTCTCTTCTAAGGGTTCTGAAAAATATCACTATTGTTTCCTTTCCGAATTCTCAGACCTACTTTAACGTACGTGACTTAAAATTCGTGAAAAACACGAGGATTAGCTAGTCCATGGACCTCAAAGGCCTCCGCCGTAAATTACGCCCTTCCCAAAAATCCGAACTTTCCAAAACTACCATCTCCACCCTTTCAATAACCAATCAAACCTCCGATACACACACCCTCGCAATAGTAACAACCAATAGTAATTTTTGTCGACGTTATATCTACCCTCGCGCACGCATTTTCCGACAGAAAAAGGTTGCTGTTCAAAAATTACACTCTAATTCCGATCCTCGGACTTGTATCGTAATAATAATAAAATCAGTTATCAATTTACCAAAATTCTACCTCTCCGAGTTCACGACATACCGAACAAATTAAAAATATCAATTTTTAATATTTAAAGTTTCTTTCTGTGCCTGACGTGTCGTAAATCTATGTGATCAACGTACAGATCAGTTGGATGAACGAATTTTAAGAACGTGGAACTGATACAAAATGAAGTAAACAACAGTGAATAAAATAATAAAAACTGAATATAGGCGAAAACGAAGACTATTATAAAAATTTGCAGAGCCTACTCAGGTTTGGTGAATACATTATACGGCCCTGACATTGAGATACGGATCCTCATCTTCTCGTATTTCTGTCAATTCCTTTGTTAGAACACTCGAAACATGTTTATATACTTTGACCCCTGGCCGATTTTACGAACGCGTTATATTTGTTCCACGTAGTATAGGTGCGAGTATATACGAATCTATTAATCACACCTACCACTTGGTCACTAAAAGCATCGGTTACTTTCCCTCAGCGCTTCTATAAACGACGTACGGGCCTGCGTGTGGCTAGATCAATCAATATTTTCGTTTAACGTCATGATTTACGACCTCACTATAGCTCTTCCATTAAGTATGTACAGATCTCTCAATTTTATATTATACCGATTTCCTTCCCTTTGGTAAACTGTCAAAAAAGCGAAGGAAAAGTGTAATTTCATGTGATACATAATTAAAAATTTGTTTGAGCGATATTGTATCGAATTAATTTTTACCAATTCCAAAGCTCTTAAGAACGCAGATTTCTGATTAGTGAATAATTTGCTGCTGTGTATACTCCACTGCCAGAAGCATGCAGTCGTCAATAGCAGATTACACAATGCAAGAGATTGTCTGTTAGATGTCTTACAAAACGTGTAGTTTTTACAATTGTTACCCCTTATCGATTTTAGTACGTGGACTGAATACAAGGGTAACTCTTAAAACTGCAATATTAGATTGAAGAGGGCGCAAGAAAACCAGTGAATTTTTTTAGGTCGGTATTTCAGTACATGTGACATGAAGTTCTATAAGGTTATAGGTCTATTCTGTACATCGTCTGTGCTTACACTTTATTTATAATTTCGTAGTAGCAGGTTTAGAAGAACAGTAGAAAACTCATACGAAAATAAAAGAAAGGGAGAGAAGGTAATGTTGGCTGTAGTGACTAAATCGACTGATCAGTAGTGACGCTACAGACCTGAAGAAATGATCATCGTGAGTTCTAATCCCCAACGACGATGAAGCCTTTTTCTGATGGACTTGGAAAAATTCATCCTCCTCTACAATAGGATTACATTTAATTTTAATTACAACCACAACAGTGGTACAAATTGTATTCCATGTTGAATCGGTAGCGTTAGAAACAACGTGAAAATGGTGACAAGACTCTTGCCGAGCTCTCCAAGCTGTGTGATACAAAAATGTATTGGGTGCAGAGTCTATTCTATACTTTGTTTGTGGTGCTATGAATCTGCACCGTGCAGTTCTGTGTCGGGAAAAGGTGTGCGAGGTGATTATTACGACCTCACTGGTGCGAACGTTAATTTAAAGAAGCAATATAAAGAATGGAGATCATCGACTGACGCGAGTCACTCGATGTAGGTGATGTACACCTACATGATTCTATTACACGCACCTGTTTGTTGCTTTTGGTAGATAAATTCATAAAAAATTTCGTTATATCAGCTAAAACTAAAGATTTAAAAACATGGATTACGAAAGTAAAGATACCAGTGATTTTTCACACAGATCAAAACAAAAGGAAACCATTTTTAACAAGGAACTAGAATACTGGATGACTCAACTTCCGGAATCTTTAAAAAACGTACCCATAATACATTTGGCAATACCCGGTACGTTTGAAATATTTTTACTCTCTGTAAGTTATAAATTTGTTCACACTGTAATTATAAATTCTCTGTAAATCATATTGCGAATTGAAAAGTGATATTTTTACTTCGAATTTGCATTCAATTCGGTAACTTTATTAAATTTACGATCGATTACGAATGAAAGAAAATATTTTTAATTTCAATCTATACGATTATATGTACAATTTAAATTTTTATTCATTAACGACTGCATCTATTATACCAATCATTTTGAAGAGAATGATTATGGGTTACATATGAGAAGTTAAAAACCTGAGATGATACGTAATTACATATATTGCTATTGCGTATTACATATATATTTATTACAAAATAATAAATTCAGTATACGTAATATAAACCAATAACTCCTAATAGGTTCTCATGATACGATGACTTATACGATAAAGCGACACAGTGACGTGGGACCTGACGAGCCGAGGTATATCAGAGTTCTCGGTCGTTACTGCTCTTTTGTCTCAAAACCCATTATTTTCAATTGGTCTATTACACAAGATGAAAACATCGTGGATCAACTTGATAATGGAATTCGATACCTTGACTTACGCGTTGCCACGAAGCCCACAGATGGATATATTTATTTTGTGCATGGCTTGTATGGATCAAAAATATACCAACCACTGCAAGAAATAGCAGAGTGGCTGTCTTCTCATACTACCGAGATCGTAATCGTAGACTTTCAACATTTCCATTCGTTCTCAGAAACGAATCATGGTCATCTTGTGGAAACAATTTTTCGAACATTTCAGGCCAAATTGTGCCCAGTAGCGTCCTCGTTCGATCACATAACGTTGAATTGGCTTAATTCGGGAAAATATCAAGTTATTCTTATTTACAGAAATGCATACGCGCAGAATTATTCAAATTTGTGGCCAAGCGATTTGTGGCGTACTACATGGCCTAATACTGTTCGCGTTAACGAACTTCTAGATTTCTTAGATGTGGAACTTAAGATGCGACCTTTGGATATAGGTTTTGTATCACAATGTCTTTTAACTCCCGACATTCCTTATGTATTAAAACATCTGTGCGGAACATTGCAAGGACATCTAGTACCACAATGCCAGAAAGCAATTCTTTCTTGGATAAATAAAAAACGACCTGGCCGCGGTGGCTTAAATATTGTTATAGCTGATTTTATATCTGACGATAATTTTATGTTTTGTAAAACAGTCATTGAAAGTAATAAAAAATTCTTCAATTTACAGTATTCTACATGACATATTTTGTACAAATTAAATATAAAATATTTATAATTTCAATGTAAACTAGTCGTGATAAATTATTTTCAAAATATAGTTTTATTGTGCATTTTCAATGCAAAACTGTG